GAGGTTTTTTTTCTGTTAAAAGGGAGATTTTCCTTTCCACTGTTGCCTTTGTGCTTGCTCAGGATGGGAGACTGTGAAGAAGTGAAGATTCAATGCAATTTGCTGGCTTCCTTATAGATAACTATGTGAATGTTTTTGTTCAGTGTCCTGAGACAACTTCTGTTGTGACTCGGGGCTATAGAAATAAACTGAATTGAATAAAAAAACAAAAAAAACTGTAGTATGCTTTTTTATATCATCTTTCTTTGTTGAAATCAGGTCTCTCTTGTAAATGAGTCCTCGAGGCTCAATGGGATTTACCTGTATAAATAAAGGTTGATTGATATATATATATATATATATGCAAACATAAAATAAATGCTTAATTGCACATTGAGAGCAACTATATTTTGTGTTCGTTCCACTCCTCGTGTCAACTTTTTTACCTGGTTAGGGAATCTGAAAGCAGAAATGTCCGAGCTCAAGAAGTTTGACACCATGCAGGTTGTGAAGGGACAACAACAATCTGGAAATGTGCAGAAGTGGAATTAAGGCCTCTTTTGCAGGCACTCAGCCTCCACGTGGTAACAAATGAATTATTGTTTTAGGGCAGCAGCAGTCATTAACTTTCTATAAATATTTAGTGCACAAAATGAGCTGACATTGGATTCTTGATGTGGCCAGACTTCACAGTTGTATTGATTAAAGGGCATACAATGCAATTTTTTACACATTTTTACTATTAAATTTTGTATGGGATATAACTGATGATAGTAATATTCATTTCCATATCAGAAATAAATAAATATTTGAAAGAAAGTGCCAAAGAAATAGACGAGAATAAGGAAGTCATACACTAAGATGAAAGTTCTTAAAGGTTGATGATGTGAGGTGAAGCACCCCAAACTTTGCATGAATCTAACAACATAATGTCCATCAAAAACGAAAATAGTAATATTAGTCTGTGTCTCTATTGTGAGCTCATATGATGAAGAGCAATATGACTGAATTCCTAATAAACCTGCCATCATTCACATAATTTACTGTTTCTGTTATAAGAAAGCAAAAAAGTCTGAAATTGATGAAAAAAATGTAATCGAAGCCAAGTTTTAGTCATATTCAAAGCACAATGATGCTTTTGTTGGATTTGGTAAAAATTCTGATTTTGCTTGAGCAAAGCCACTCACACACATTAAAAACTGCCCATGCTGTTATTTCAGCCATGCTTACCTGTGTGATGATCAGAGAGAAAATCAGAAACACCACAATGTCTCAACGTTTCTCTCCAGGCTGCTACACATTTATCATTTTCCTTTCACCCACTCCGCACACTTTCACTCACTCCGCGGGCCTCATTCTCTTTAAGGCATGATAACAATGAATCTTTAAACCAAGAGCCCACCAAGGCCGTGCTTTGTAACAGCCCAGAAATATGGAGCCTTGACATCTAGCTGCAAAATGGCAGTAGGCTGCCATCCAATGCTGTAAGTCGCAGTCTCAGAGCATAGTGTTTTGTCCAGCACCACCAGCATTTAGACTCCTTTAGGTGGTCAGAGCCAAGGCTGCACACCACAGAGGCTTGTGAGGCCAGTAAAAGCAATCATGAACAGGTCCTACCTTTCATCTTAATGCCTTCCCCAAGTAAATCTTAGCAGCTAAGTCTTAGCAGCTATTCCCAGGACAAACTGGACTGTAAAACAAAACCACCATAGATTTCCTCCTCATGGCTGTGAGGGGATTCATTTTCCCATCCTCTCGCCTGTGTTTTTGGCAACTCTCCATTCCATTCTCCTCGGGCTAAAGCAGCACATCATCCCAGTAGATGTGCCCTTCAGCTTGTATAGCCTTAATCAGCTCGTGAAGGGGATCTGGGACGGGTTGAAATTACAAATCTCATTCTTCCATCCTGTACCGCTGCAAAAAGTTGCCTTGACATGTTCCTGTTGGAACAATCCATGCTATAACAAAGTTAAGTCAGGTGCTCTGCACAGATTCTTTTTCAACAAGAATAATTTGTGCAGATGACCTGATTTAGCCTTGTTAAAATTTTCTACCTGGATTATTGAGCATGCATCAGGAAACAATCCATGTTGTTTTCAAAAATGATCAAATTTCTGTTTAAAAAAAAAACAAAAAAAAACAGCAGCATTTAAGTAGGCCTGTGTCCTGGTGGTCCTTAGAGTGAAACTGTAGCTCACTAGGCCTTGTGTGCTGTTATCACTCCATACATGGCAGAGTAGGTAGTGAGAATGTGTTGTTCGGGCACCAAAGCATGACATTACCCTTTAAAAAGTGAACTTGCAAACAAGATTTTTTTAAATTCACAGCTTAAACTGGAAGGAGATGAAGACGTGACTCAGACTGAGTGACAGTCGTCCAAGCAGTTAGCGGTTTATCATTAGCTTCCTCTAATTATTATTATTTTTTTAACCTGTTAAGCAGTTTAGAGTTAGCAAAGCTAATTTTTAGGTTACCTGCGCCCACTACATAGTGTTGATATATAATTACATGAAAAGTTAAAAGTTTTATGATTATTAGTTGACATCATCGGTTGATTTTACTGGTGTGCAAACAGTCTTGGACTTTTTCCACTAAGATTCTACTAAACTGATCTTTGTCTTTGTTTTGTTTCTTTAATTAATGCCCAATAAAATCAGAAGATACTTATTGTAAAGTACAGTAGGTGCTGTAGTTTACCAGTTACAGTATTAAAAACATGGATGTTTTTTCTGTCCTGTAAACCTGATTGTGTTGGGCTCTAATATTCTTTTGATATTCCAGTTTTAAATATTTCAGTGTCAGGCGGTCAAGAGTTTGCTCTGAGTTCTTAACATTGCAGCTCCCTCTAGTGGTGCAACTAAACTGAAAACACTTTTATTCTCATATCTTAAACTAGATGCTTATAGTGACCAAATACTAAAGGTGTCATTGTGAAAATTCCACCTCCTGGCATTTAAAAGCTTTAATTTTGCTATTTATTGGCTGTATACTGCAGATTTAATCTAATCTTCATATTATATCACGTTTTATGTTCCTGCACATTGTCAGTAATTGAAATGTGTTTTTAGACTGAATGGAGGGATTTTGTGTCAGACACAAAGGTAAAAATCTAATGAACACTTGGGTTTAATGATAATAACATCTTTCTGAGTGATAAGCAGGATTTTTCTCAAATTCCTTGAGAACGAAAAACATCTTTTTTATTAACATTAACTGTGCTGTAATCTTCTTATCTTTTATTTATTCACATACTTTATATCTAAGAGCTACATTTATGTATTTATTTGTTATCACAGCTCAGGCTGCAGCAGAACATCAGCTGATGTTATAACGCCCAAAAGATGTTTACTGATGAGCAAACCATTTGAAAGTAATGTTCTGCAATAAAAGAATCATTAATTTACTTTTTTTTACAGTACCTCTGTCTGTGCTCCATTTTCCCTTTTCTACATGTCCTTTTTTCTCCTTCCCATCTTGTTTAGACATTATTCTTGCATTTTGGGCTTACATGAGCATCGAAGCAGTGAGGACAGTGGTGAACGAGGGGGTGAGCTAAACACATCATTAATAGTATTTTTAGTTTTTATAGCCTGCAACTAAATTAGTGTGGATGTTTTCATCCATCCATCCATCCATCATCTTTACTCGCTTCTTCTTTTTTGGGTCGTGGGGGTCACTGGTACCCATATCATGCAGTCACTGTGCGAGAGGCGGGGGACATCCCTGGACAAGTTACAAGTCCATCACAGGAACACTTCTGCATTTTTGTTTGTTGTTCAGCAATTACAGTAATACTATCATTATAGTTTGTTGTTGTTTTGTTATAATACAGTATGCTACATTGTTAGTTACACCACTAACATACACACACACATGCACGCACGTTCTTGTAAATGTACTTTTTGGGGACTTTGCATTGACTTCCATTCATTTTCTATAGCCTAACCCTGACCCTTACCCTAAACCTAACCATTACTAGTACATGTCTAACCCTAAACCATCTGCAATTCACACCTTAATCCTAAACCTAATCCCTAACTCCCCAACAAGACTTCACCTTATGGAGACCTGGCTTTGGTCCCCATAAGGAGCACTTGGTTCCCACAATGCCTGATTTTTTTGTATTGGTCCCTATACAAGGTAACCTGAAACAAAAACACACACGCAAGTGCTTGCACACACATACACACAAAGGGAGAGAAAGAGATGTTACAATCGTCACAGCATTTGCATAAATTTCATCAGCCACATGACGAAAAACCGATGTTTTCAACCACTTGTTCATATTTAAATCAGTAGATACTTAAATTCACTGCCTCAGCCTGAGTCTGATGATTTTTTTCCGGTGAGCTTTTTACCCAAATCAGCCCTCATCTCATCTCAGCAGCATATCCGATGAGTTAAGCCGACGCAGCGACCCGACTCGTCTGAGTCAGCTGTGTTTCCGGTGGGTTATTACCCCGGAGCAGCGACCCAAAGCAGCAACGTATCCGGTGAGGTATTAGCCCAATGCAGCAAACTGACTCGTGTGTCTGCAGCATGTCACTCTGCTCTTTTATCAATTGTTAACTTGCAGACTTTTGGCTGTAATCTGCCAGAGGACATGAAGGAGTTGGGTTAATTTAGACCTCAGATTCGTGAGTCCTGGTATAGTGTGAGAACTCAGATCATTGACCCAGGTAGATCAGGAACCAACCGGCTCTGGTTTGTAGAGTTTGAAGGTAAATTCATGGCACAAGTGTCCAGCGAAGAGCACAAATGGTCTATTTCCAGAGAAGAACAACAGCAAAAAACAATCAAACAAGAAACAGGATCAAAGGCATCTATTGTATTTACATAAATTCAATCTTGTGACTTTTGCAGATTTATTTAATTCAGTAATGCTACAGAAGGAAAACTTGAGTCAATTTATACACACATTCGACAAACTTAAATGTTCATCTTTAAGCTGAATTTTCAGGTGCATTTCTGTATACTCTGCTGTTATCTGCAGAATGCTGAGGATAAATGAAAGAATTAAATCAGAACTGAGCCTGATAGGCCAGAAGATATCCATCGTTGTACATGTAGATCTGCCTGTCAGTAGGGTTGTAGCTCAGACTGGCCACTCCTTTGGCTATCTTCTGCAGCTGTAATGAAAGTGTGTTGTCTTCTTTCCCTGTTGCTGTGTCAAAGGCGTAGAAGACTTCTTCTTGGTAGTCGTCTACGTAACGAGTGGCGTACAACACGCCACACACCATGAAAGCGTTGCTTACCGCCTTCTTGAACAGCCGCGTCTCCCAAGTCTGCGACACGTTGAGAGTCTGAGCCTCGTCGTCCCACACTAGCCTACTCGCTACAAGGTTACCATGGTTACCGAGAGTGGCATAAATTGCCCATAATCCGGTCTCATCTGCCTCCAAGTCTACGTCGCTATTAGAGCGGCAGTCATAGTAACAATAAGGGAACTTGTTGTTGAAACCCACACCGGTGCCTGGAAGCGTCACGCGTTTCACATTGTTTGTCTTCAGGTCGTAGCGGCAGACATCTGCAGAGCGGTAACAGTGAAAGTACAGAGCATCTCCATACAGGACAGCACTAGGACCCTCAATGGTGTTGGCATGAGTGTAAGATGGAGCCAAGGTAAAGTCCTTATGGTTAACAGAAGCCATAAAATCATTGTAGGTTTGGTAAACACGCAGGGTGTTTCCATAGATGTGGCTGTTGACCAGAGGTTGAACCCAGTAGGTGATCTCCCCCTTGCTGTTCTTCTGTGCCTGTTTCCCCCACGAACCAGAAATGTAGCTCTTACCATACGGGCTGACTTTGCTTGTAACAGGGTCACTGATGCCTGTGATCAGACCCTTGAGGCAGTACGAAGACTGGGCTGCAACACAGAGAGATTTTATCATCAGATTTATTGGAGCTGAAGACCTGATGATGCACATTTAGGTCTTCTCTAAGGACACATTAGCAATACATCAAAGCAAAAGAGCAGCCTGTTACTCCTAAGCATAACTCGTTTTTTCCACCCCCTTGTGTTTTCTAGTAAGTTAAACAAGTAAAGGAGTGGCATTTAGTGGTTGCTTGTTATGGGGTGGGGGTGGGGGTTGGGGGGGGGGGGGTATGGAACAATTTTGGATCTACCTGGTCACAAAAATAGAAAAATTCAAAAAACAATTAATGATACATGGCTTTCTCCAGATGAAAGTCACTGATTAAAAAAAAAAGTCTAATTTTCATCTTAACTGGTAACTTAGTCTGAAAATACTGTATTTAGTTAATTCATCCATCCATCCATCCATCCATCCATCCATCCATCCATCCATCCATCCATCCATCCATCCATCCATCCATCCATCCATCCATCCATCCATCCATCCATCCATCCATCCATCCATCCATCCATCCATCCATCCATCCATCCATCCATCCATCCATCCATCCATCCA